AAGCCAGACTCGAGCTGGTCTTTCCTCACTCACTTTCCTCTCGTCTGTCTCCTCAGCACTGTCGTAGCTCAGTCCAGTTGGATTGTTAGTTGCTGACAGTCCGGGTATGTGCCCTGTACCGTCTCATAAGTGATGATTCTCATGTTCAAGCCAGAACTCGCGCACGAATGTCAAAGTTGAGTTAACTAACGCCATCGAAGAGCTAACCAAGACGGTGAACAAGTACACAAAACTCAGCGGACCTAATATATCACCTGAGCTGGAAACGGCGGCCAACGAAATGCTCTCGTGAGTCTAGTGCTGGTGGTATTGGTCGTGGATGCTTACATGGCACAGATCGTGGGAGGCAATCAACGACGAGGCCGTGGAAATCAAGTCGCGGCGCGAGTCATTGAGGATCATTGATAGCAAGAAGGACCATGATGCTGGAAGAGTCGTCGCATTCATGCGATATCTATCCCGGTCGATGGAGAAATTCATGGTATGGAACACTTGTCCTTTACTTGGAAAATTTGCAGGCCACAGACTGACCCACGGTCTTCGCTAGCGTTTGCTTCCCCGTCTGACAGGTGTGTCTAAGACAGTCATTATCTTGACATATTACATGGATATCCACTCACACTACTCCTGCAGATAGCGAATTGTTTCGCCACCGTTGGGAGCGGCTTCCCGCTGAGCTGCACAACTACATCTACGGCCTCCTGCAGAGCCCCGGCCACAAAACCGGCTTGTCAGCACTGTCCCTAGTCTCGCATACCTGGTCCCGACGCTTTCGTCCTCGCCTCTTTGCCCAGCTTGAGCTGAAAACTGAGGGAGACGATCGCACACTATACGGCATAGTGCGGTCCCCGCTGTCGGCCTGGCTGGCGGAGCACATTGCCGTCCTGCGTTTCTCCAGGATTGGCCCTCGTGGTTATCCACTCTGGACGGCTCTCCTCCGCCTCCTCCCCGCGTGCCGCAACATCTCGCATGATTTCGGTGGCAAGCCCGTCCGCATGTTGCTGTCGCACAGCCCAGGTCTGAAGAGCTCGTTGCAGAGCATTACCTCCTTGTCACTCTACAATTGCACCTTCCCGTCATTCCGAACCCTGCTCCGCATACTAGCCGACATCACCTACCTGAAAAATGTTTATTTCAGTGATGTCACATGGTTGGGTGACGGACTCACAACAGCTGAGGCCGCGAGCAATGTCTGCACGGGTGCCTTCAGCCATGTCTGCTCAGTCCAGATGTGGAGCTGCACGAACAACATGGCAGTGCCCGCATGGATCCTGGCGGCCGCGAGCACACGACACTCGTTCACCAGACGTCGGGCGGTAGGGCCAGAGACATGGGCCATCATCGACCTCATCCAGACGTTCTTCAAGGACGACGGCAAGCTCGGGCATTCAAAATTTTATATCGAGGAAGCAACTGCAGGTGAGCTCGACTGGTCCCTCTATCAGATTTCTGTACTCACAGGATGGTCCAAGATACTTACAGATTTGTTGGTTCCCTGGTTCTCGCATACGTCTCAGTCCGGGTTGTCAAGTCTGCGCCTGCCGCCGGCGCCAACGAGGCCTGGTCTGTCCGCCAAATCGTTCTCGCTACCTCAGACGAAGTAATTTCGAAATCGCACCGGTATTTCCACTCTCGCGATTGGTCCGCGCTTGCTTCCCTTCTACCCGCGTTTCCACAATTACAACAGTTCCAAGTCCTCTGCGGGGAGATCTATTCAGAAGAGGACTTCCGTGCTCTCTCTGACAAGGTCGCAGAGGCCACGAACAACCACATGCATCCGCCCGTCACGCTTCAACATGACCGTGACCTGCCAGACGGGAGATACTTGCAGCCAGCACTGTTTGATCTAACCGAGGCGGATGTGGAGGCAGGGCGAGAGAAGGTGGTACGTACTGGAAAGCGGAGTTACTTGATACCTAGCTGAGCAGTCTTTTCACGCAGAGACGACGAGTCGAGGAGAGAGAAGAGAGAGAAGAGAGAGAAAAAAAGAGGCGTTTACGCGTGGCACACAATTAAGGTAGGGGTCGCCAGGAACGGGCACCCTTACATAAGCAGCGTACGTGGCATGGGCGCTTGCGCAAAATCCGAGGGATCGAGACAGTTGTAGAGAGGTAGAATACA